CATTCCTAAATATCCTTGCTAATTAAGTGTATTGGCTAGAACTATCATTATTAAAAGGATTATTTTGGAAAAAAATGCATAAATATGAGAGACAAAATGGATTGGGGTCTATAATTAGGACCAAACAAAAAGTTAAACGGGTCTTATAATAAGGACCGGAGGTAGTATTTGGAAAGGTGACTTTTCCAAATATATCTTGGCCGCAATTTTAAAAATATTTCTCTCAAGGGCATGTTTGAACAGTGGTGCTTTAAAGTAACGTTATGTTATTTGTGCTTTCAAATGGCTAAGAAAACTGAAAATATGGTACTACCTCCGATCCTAATTATAAGAATCAGTTAATTAATTTGAGAAGATTAAAAAAATAAATTGAGTTAGTTATTTGTTCTAAATAGGTGTTGTTTTTCCTAAATATCCTTACTAATCAAGTGTATTGACTAAAATCTTATTATTAGAAGGGCTACTTTGAAAAAAAATGTATAAATCTGAGAGACAAAGTGAATTAAGGTCTTATATTTATTATCAAAATAAAAACCAAATAGAGTCTTATATTAAGGAGCGGAGGTAGTTATATATTTGCAGACCTGTGAAGACACAAAAAGCCGGTCGGACTACAAAACAAAACAAGATTTCGTGCTTTTTCTTTTTTTTGTTAATTTGATCTCTCATGAACTCAGACGGTCTCTTTGGGACCCGGCTTCTCTTCTTTGCTTTTTCAGTCCGCTACACTGTCCAGCGTCCGCTGCTTGAAATGACAGCGTTTTTCGTGTAACATGAATTGTGGGTATTTGCTTCTTGTTTTATAGCCAACAAACACTGCTCTTAACTTAGCAGTCTTATTTCCTCCTTTTGAGTTGGGGATGAATCCAGAATTCACGCACATGAATAAATTGTCCCGTTTAAATCATAAATTGTAAATGTGAAAAAAAAATCGGGTTAGGGAAAAAAATTTAAAAAAATTGGTTGAAAATTATATAAAATCAAACTGAAAGTTTTATTTATTAATGTACAGATTTAATAATTTTTTTCATAATTATTTTAATATCTATGTCCATTGGCCTGTCGTTAGATAAGTTTTTTGTCTCTTATTTTTTAAACCTTTACAGGTGGTAAGGCAGTAAAGAAATATCTAAAGCTTAATAATGTCCAGATTTCATTTTAAATTTGAAATTACTAATGAGATGATAGATTTATCTAAAAAAGTAGCTACTACATTAATTAAGACCGTAGAGTATAACATTAATGATGAATGTCACTCTGGTTATAAATACCAGTCACTTGTAAGAAGAAGTTTGGATTCTAAATATAAGTCACTTGTATTATATTTAATGTTTATTTTTTAATTTTACTCTTATTTAATTCTCATTGGAAAGAGAAAGACAAGAGAGAGAAATGAGAATAATTGGTAAATGAGGAGGAAGAGAAAAACCTCAATACGGGTTTAGTTGAAAAAATTTGCTACTTTAATGCACTCGTATTGTCATGAGAGAGAATATGTTATGAGTGACTTGTATTAAGGAGCAAAGTGGTACATATATTGGTAGTGTTAGCATAATACGCTATGTTTGCTGGTAAAAAGAAACATGTAAAAAAAATATTAAATATGCACATTAATATTAATTTTAAATAAAAATTTCAGTTTGATTTCATAAAATTTTCAACCAAGTTTTTTATTTTTATTTCTTTAACCAGATTTTTCTGCACATTTACAATTTATGATGTGAACAGGACAATTGATTCATGTGCATGGCTTAATGACGTGAAAAGGACAAGAATCAGCTACTCTGGGGACGTTGTAATGAGCATTCAAATTCGCAGGCACTTTCATAATGAGTCTAGGTGCAGGTTGATGACATCACGAAAGGAGGAAGATGCTCGATCGTCTGTTAGGCAATGCATCGGAAGTTACAGCAACAAGTCTGATAATCCAGTGCTTTGTATTAAGCCTCTCTTTATAGGCATCGAGAGAATCATTTTATGGGCATTCTTTTTTTTTACCAGCACATTTTATGGGCATTCTACCATTCCAAGAATTACAATCTCATGAATGAAAAAATTAATCTGCATTATGGTATAATATAAAAGCATCGGAAGTTACAGCAATAAGTCTGATAAAATCATCCATTTGACGGTTATAGGGTGTGTAATGCTATAACCATGCATGATACGGAATCCTAAGAGGCTATAGAACTGTGAACATCCACGCAACATGATATTTATTCTTCACAAAAGAAAAGCGGCACGTGATATGTTCCTCAAAAGTTAATAAATGTATGCAGAGTTATTATTAATATATAACCGTGAACGTAAAAACATCGAAAACAGGAAAATAGACTTGAAACATTAACTCTTGTTGTTGCGAATGATGTGGTCATGGTGCCGAGGATTGAGAGGAGCGAAGGCACTGTTTATATTAAAAGTGCGTCGAATCGGTTCATTTGTGGAACACAAGCTCAGCAACTATATAGATTGCGGCCTTACTGTCACAGTACATATTTACAGAGCATGAATGTATGATTCCTAGGTCCTTTAGCAAACCAAGAACCCATACAATTTCTGAAGCTGCAGTTGCCAAGGCTCTATATTTGTTCTCAACAGAAGATCTGGACACTGTATGCTGTTTCTTGGCGCTGATACCATGATGAGCACATCATAGCAAAATTAGAATAAAGAACTCTATATTATTCCATCTGTGTGAAACTGAATTGTACAAACAAAAAATGTTCCAGAATGAAAAATATATACAAGCTATTGGGCCTTATGACCCTAAGATCCGATCTACTAAACTAATAACTAGATAAAATAAGTCTCACTGACTAAAACAACACCTAAACTTAAATAAACAGGGGTTTATTTTTCCAACAATCTCTGATACCATGAGGATTGCTCGAGACGGTGTTGGAGGACCAGGGTGAGGGGCAGCAATGATGGGAGACACCTTCCGTCATATCCATAAGCTTCACAGTTATGCAATTTCCGTAAGCTAAAAGAAAGTGGTCACCACCCAAATCATATTTGAATACTATTGCCTCCATTTCTGGTTGGAGCTCGCCCTCACCCATATGAAGCACTATTTCCATTCTCCTAACCCTTTTGATACCTTGAAATTCTTCATGGTTTTGTTCAGTGGTCATTTCGATTTGCACCAAAAGGGGTCCTCCATCTCCAGCTTCAAGTATGCTCATGGTGAGGTAGATGCTCCCCTATGAACTTACATTTCTCAATTTTCAAGCTTGCCAGTCAAGGTAACATTCATCCATCCGTCACTTCAACCTACACAATCAATGGTAATCGGCTATTGATAAGGAACCAACATCAGCATTTCCCTTTAATGTGTGTTGGCCAGAAAACAAGAAACAAATATCGATGATTCATTTTGCACGAAAAACGCTTAAGTAGTAAATGACAGCGGACCCAAAAGCAAAGGAGAGAAGCCAGGACCGTCTCTCTCTCTTAAGAGTTTTTTCTCTCGACTTGAGAATGTGAGTGCCGGCCCCGTTGTGGCGGTGTGAGACTGTGAGTGTCCAGGAACCACCTACTATGGTTTTTCATTAAAGTATCATCTCTAATTGCCTTTCCTAGGGAATCTGAGTAGTGAGTAGCATGTGAAACTGTCTTCTCTTTCGTTACGGTCTTTTCTACGATCCTGGAATAGTGGGGATGGTACGGAGATTGTAGAAATGGCTAAGGATACTCTAGTTTTTACTTTTTCTGATGAAAAGGATAAAAATCGATGACTCTGAGGACACCGTTGGTCGATACAAGGTGCTGTAATGAGTATTCAAAACTAGTCTGAATTCGCAGGCACTTTCATAATGAGGCTATGTGCAGGTTTATGACGTCATGAAAAAAGGAAGATTTTCATCTGGTATCGCCGGCGAGGGGGACTCACCCTCTTATGGTGGGCGATGAGTTGTCCGCTAAGCAAGGGACCACAAGGAGAGGCAGTGTGCGGAGAACGGAGGAGGTGGTGAATCGGTTAGGGGTTGTAGAAAGAGAAAAGTGGTCCCGATTTCCCGTGTGGCAATAAAGGTCAAGGACAATCAAAGTCAATTATGAGGGATCAGATCTTGATTTTTGTGGCTTTTCAAAAGGCACCTTTTTGCAGAACCAGTTTCGGTGCTCATCACTTTAATGAGCACCATAAGCTCATCAGATTTGAACCGTCTATATCTGATTTGAACGGTCCAGATTTAAAATCTTTAATTAACTATTTTTAAATAGAAAAAATTATTTTTTGAAAAAATGATAGTTAAGAGATCATCACTGTTTTAGATTATATACATATTAAAATAATTATTTTGAATAAAAAAAAAATCAAATCTGAACCATCTTAATGAGACATGGATGATTCAGATCTGATGAGCTTATAGTGCTCATCAAAGGGATGAGCACCGAAACTGGTTCCCCTTTCTGCTTCCACTCCCACTCCTTCTCAGCTTTGCTTTGTGGGGATCAAGAATTTAGTCGTCATCACCTTTGAAGGAGAAATTTATTGAGGGAAGATAGGAGCAACATTATAGGGAGAATTCTCATTGAGATGAATATTGTATGCACATCCAGTGCTTTGTATTAAGCCTCTCTTTATAGGCATCGAGAGAATCATTTTATGGGCATTCTTTTTTTTTACCAGCACATTTTATGGGCATTCTACCATTCCAAGAATTACAATCTCATGAATGAAAAAATTAATCTGCATTATGGTATAATAAAAGCATCGGAAGTTACAGCAATAAGTCTGATAAAATCATCCATTTGACGGTTATAGGGTGTAATGCTATTAACCATGCATGATACGGAATCCTAAGAGGCTATAGAGCTGTGAACATCCACGCAACATGATATTTATTCTTTACAAAAGAAAAGCGGCACGTGATATGTTCCTCAAAAGTTAATAAATGTATGGAGAGTTATTATTAATATATAACCGTGAACGTAAAAACATCGAAAACAAGAAAATAGACTTGAAACATTAACTCTTGTTGTTGCAAATAATGTGGTCATGGTGCCGAGAATCGAGGAGCGAAGGCACTGTTTATATTAAAAGCACGTCGAATCTGGTCTGGAGTTTGGCCCTTCATCATGTGGGCCACAGTCTCACAAGATGATTCTAACATGCCTGTGACTTCCGGATTGTGCGCCGCCAGCAGCATGTTGAACAGCAAGCCAACATCCACGCCAGCCTCAGGACGATCAAGTCTCCTGCAGTATCTTATGACTTTTGACAACGTTGTGGTGTTCACTTTATTGTATAATCGGACCTCCTCGCCCCCGGAAACACCAACATCGGCGGCAAGCTTCGATGCCTCTTCGGCGCTGATGGCTATGCCAATCTCATCACCACAGCTGCTTATCAACGTAACAATCTTCAGCGACGACGGCACCAGCGACAACCATCTCTTCCTTATTAAAGGAATTTCATCTCGATGAACCACTCTCATAGAGACGGTCAAGTCCATTTTAAATTACACTTTGTGTGCCTCTCTCGAGTCTGATCCTTTATTCACAATCATAATTTGTAACAGTTTAACAAGGACATAAGGATTTTTTATAAGGTTAGAAACAATTAAAAAACAAAGAGCATGATATCTTTTTCGTATCCTAATGCAACAAATATATTTTTCTTTCCCCCAGAAAGTTATCTTTTCAATTCAAAGGCAGTGAGATTTAAAAATAAAATTATTTAGATATATAACCTGCATCATTTATATGCCATATCATCATTCATCACCACGACGGAGTTTTTTAAAATTAATTAAATTTTGAACGGAAATTGGACCGCCGATTGCTAAAATTACGTAGCGGGACTGCATATATGAGGCGTGATTTTTTAGAATATAAAAGCATATGCATGAGAATGCCCTTAGGCTGTGTTTCAGCCGGTATCATTTGCAAATCCGGCGAGACCTCAATTATTGTATTTGAAAACTCAATTGTAATCTTTAAATATTTTAAAAAGTTTGTTAAAACCAGTTAAATACATTAAACATGCTTTATCTTCTAAAATATTCTCATTTACGGTAGGAGAGAGAGTGAATAAGAGATAGAAAATAAGTAGCCAGGGATGCTTGAAAGATAATTAATAGGGTGATATGACATATAATTAATGGGGCAAAAATGCAAAAAATAGCTTAAAATTTCTCATATCATTTAAGTGTATCTGATATATAGAAACATGTTTACCAAAAAAGCTGTACGAGGACCAAAGTAAATTATGAGAGCTTTATGTAATTTCTGGAAAATTACAGTTTATAATTAAACTTGTATACTGTAATTATCTAATAACTATTTAAAATAAATAATAATATATTGGAATCGATTTCAAATTAAAAAAAACTACAAGGTTGGTGTTAAAAAAAAAAACCAAACGAACATAGGAAATGAAATTTTACACTATAAGTTGTAGTATATATTTAGGAATCATAGAATATGGGTTATTGATAAAAAAAAACACACACACACACATATCTACTTTAGTCACTTTATGCAAAACGTTAGAAAATAAATAGACGAGGGGGGGAGAGAGAGCATACCGGCCGGGCCAAATTGAGAGCGAGAGACAGTTGGAAAAACTTGATGATTGGAGCGAGCAGCAGGGAAAGGAGACCTTCAATTTATAGGGTCAGGATGACTGTTATTAAGGAAGGTGTTATCTCTCTTATTTATTGTAAAATGATTCTCTGCTTACTATTCAATCAGTAACAATCAAAAAATTAGCACTGATTAATTTTTTATTTGCTTTTCTTTTGGGGGGGGGGATTAATGCTGATTTATTCTCTGATTTGATTTTATTACATTTTTACATTTTTCTAATCAAATGGTTCAGCAATGGACTTGAACCCTAAATCCAACACAAAGGGTGCGCTTAAAATCTGAATAGATGAAACTACCCTTCAACCTCTAAACCTAAGAATCAACTGGTGTCTTGCTATGAAAAAAAGAAAGACTTTAGATAAAATCTCTAAATAATTTAGGCATGAATCCTGCAAGAAAAGGGCACGCTTTGGCCGAACTCAATCCAGGTTCATTTATAAGTTTTAAATTTGGAAGTGAATCTGATTTATTTTATAAGTTTTAATTTGAATTATCTGAATATTTAATGGGTTTCTTATTTGGTTTTTCTTTTTCTACATTTTCTCTAATTACATGTCCTTTTATATTCTTTTATCTTTTTTTCTCATTTATTATAGGGATATATTTAAAAATAAAAGTATATTTCTTACTCATTTATTGCTTTCAATTGATTTTAAATTAGGAACAAATTTGGAAAAATCACCTAAACTTTCCAAAATATGTCATTAAATCGTAATATCATATTAATAATGATACATCTTTGAATGCCTTCCATAAATTAGGATAAATTTGGAAAAAACATTAATACTCATTAAATTTTATAAACTAACTTCCATTTTAGGCAAGCCAAATTTTTGATAAAGTGGGTTACTTTTGGCCATCACGCCATTTCATGACAGTTTTATCGCAAGGTCGACGGATTAATTTTTTTTGCCCACGGATTAACTGTTTTTAAATCCATAATTTTAATATAGTTTATTAGGTTTTACTAGATATTAAGATAGAATTCATTCAATTATTTGAAGATTAAAAGAATAAGTTATTTTTAATATTTAGCTGCTTAAATCAGTATGAGATTGTGTTATCCTAATCTTTTTGTTTCATTTATCTAATTAAGAACGCTATCAGATATTCATGTATGTGTATATAAATACAATTTTATAAATTGTTCCATTAAGAATTTTAGATGAGTTTAAATGTAGAATATAAATAAAAAAATCTAAAAACCGATGTCGTTCATCAAATCAACATTATATTAGAAGATAAACTAATCTAATAGTACTATGTATTAATATTATCATAAATTAAGTCAGGAATTCAGTTGTAATGTGATTTCGTTTTAATCTATATAATTTTTTATAACTTGTAATTCTTTTAAGCATGGAGTAGATTTTACCGCAGCAATAATGCAAGATAAAAGCAAAATTATTTTAACACAAAATAAAAACTTTACAAGGTTAGTAGGAATTGTATTTTTTTTTCCTATGCAGATTGTATATATAATGGTATTTTTTTTATTTTCACAAAATGAATAGGATAATTGCTATATATTAATCATTAATTAAGAATAACAAAATGCCAAAACGCATTTCGCAAGATATTGTAGTAAACTAGAATGAATTACAACCATTGGATCGAGTACAGTTGTGATCGGAGGGCGGAGAGCATATGTGGTTGAGGCTTCGCGGGAAGAAAGCCCGGGACTATGATTGAGGAACCTAAAAGGGAAACGGACGTATATTTGGTGACATGCGAGAAGAAGGAACCATCTTTTAAAAAGAAAAAAAAAGAAGAAAGTTAAAAAAAAAAAAGAAGAAGGAAACGGAGGTATATTTGGTAATGTACGAGAAAATAAAGCCATCTTTCAAAAAAAATTAAAATTACTAAATATCAAATTAGTTTTAGTTCTTACACTTTAATAGGTGTTGATAATATTGACTTGTAGATAAAAATACATTTTTTATAAGAATTTTTATTTGGGGTTTAACAATTTCAAAATTCTTTTTGTATGACTCTCATAAAAAGGAGTGAGAAGAAAAAATGCTTCTACATAAAAGTCATTTTCACAATGAAAAAAATGCGTGAAACATTTTTTTTCCCAATTTTTTCATAAAAAGTTTGGAATGACAGAAATACCCTTTATTTAAATGCTCAAATTGACTCTTCTTTTTTCTTTTTTTATAATAATAATTGCTTTTCAAAATTAAAAAGCTTAAATTATAGGCTTAAAATGACATTAAGATTATTTATAGGATTAAGTTGCATCCAGTATCCCAAAGTATTTAGTCGGATGCCCTCAAAATGCTAAAGTATTTTGTAATGCAGTTCAACACTTGATGTAATTTTACTTTTAAAATATTAATTTCTTCAAAAATAGTTGTGTTTTTAAAGTATTATTTCATGAGTAGTTTTAATTTCATTATTAATTCCTTAAAAGGTTTGCTAAATCAATATATATCAAGTACCATAAAGTATTTTTTCAATATTTTTTGTGGAGCTGGATACATCTGAAAAAATATTTTATGGTGTTTGATGCACAACAAAATACTTTAAAGTATTAGACGTACCTGAAAAAATAAATCCTTAATGCACCACAAAATACTTTAGGGTATTTGACAAAATACTCGAGGCGTTGGATGCATCTTAGTTGATATTTATATTTTGTCAATCATCATTAGTATTTTTATGTTGTCATTCATATTTTTTTTTTCATTTAGAGACTTAAAACGTTCGTTATTACATTTAAACATCAAACCTACCGTTTTTTCCCCAAAAAAAAGAGTGATAAGTACATAAGAGGTTTTTCTTTTAAGATCAAGGGACAAGTTCTTTAAAATGTTTCACAATTCAGAACAAAACTAAAAGTTTCTCCATATGCAATGCACAGATTAATATATTTAATTAGATTTGAAATTGGATAATACTTGCGTTTTATTCAACATAATTAAATCCTAATTAAGATAGTATTTAAATTCAAAATTAATTATTAATTTTTTTATTTCAGCTTCTAATTGAAATCTCATTTAATTATAACACTCCTTATTTGATTCAATATATTTGAATACTAATTCAGATATTATTCAAGTCTCATTAATTGAATATATTCGGATATCATATTGTCATACCTAACTCATTTTTAAATGAATCGAGTATTATAAAATTTTAAGAATACAGTTAATTGATAACAAATTTTTTATTCATCAGCAGAAGGCTCCTTTTGTTGGCTAAATAAAGGCTATATATATACATATATATATATATATGGTTTTTTTATAAAAAAAAAAATTTACATGAGTTGGGTTCTGAAAGGGTTTACCAGATAACCCACCAAAGTTTTCATGTGTACCAAAATAACTGAGTTGAGCTAAAGGAAAGCTTGAAGGCCTTTTGATAACCAACAAGCCATATTATTTAAGAAAAATGGGCAAAATTTTCTTTTTAAAAATTTTTATTGGCGACATAGATCAATATTGATGCCCACCTATAAAATTTACAGTATTTTTTGTGTATAAAAATTATTTGTCAGGTCCCAATGCATTTTTAATGAGAGATTTTCCACTAACTTTTTCCTAGATAAGTGTATATATAGGATTCACGTCCAATTATATTAATAAAATTTAAAAGGCATGCGTTGGTTTGTTTGTGTTGGTGGCCATGGGAGATCAACAACATCCTAAAGGTGTTTTGGATTCACTCATAAATTATCATTCATATGTCAATTAACGATATTACATGTGAAGTGTAGAACTTCATCACAAGTCATGAGATGATGATCAGATTGTGTGTTGAAGTGGGAGAGAAGGAGGAGGAGGAGGCAGAGGGTCGTGAACATTATTCTTGCAATCATCAGATGGCGGAATAACAGAGGAGAAGGAGCTTTGGTCCT